AACTTGGATAAACATCTTTTTACCATGGCCAGTAAAAATACGTTAATCTTTGGACCTTACTTGGAATTAATTTTAGGATGAATAGTTTAAAATTTTAATGAGGTCATCACTATCGAGTGGTTTTAGCTGCTATTCTGTTTAAGGTGCCTAGTGTTCTAGTTAGTTCATCAAAGGAAATTTTCACCTAAAACAAGATCTACAGAAATATAGTAATCGTATAAATAATTGAGACATTCATTGATCTTGTAATTGTACTTTTAAAAAATATTACAATATAAAGTATCATTTTCAGTGAAAGTATATTCTGAGGAAATGATTCATTTTTAATATTTTGTAATGCATGGCTTTGGACAATAGAGATTTCTTATATCAAAATAAATATTACTCTATAAAATGATGACCTACTGCCTACCTTAAAATATAGTAGAAATGGGCTCTACATAAATGTGTGTGTAAAGCATATGAATAGCCTAAATCATCATTGATTGTGGATATAATCAATTGTCATATCCTTTAATTATCAATTTGATAAAATAATATCATAGCCATGAATTTATTTTTGCTGATTATTTATGGTGAATGTATATGGCTAACTAATAAAAAGAGTTAAAAAACAAAATTATATATAGATTATAACCTATTTCATTAAAAATTATATATACATACATGTGTACATATAATTGGAAATAAATTTATATAAAATGTGCATCCATTTTATAGGGATTGCCTCTGGGTAGTGGATTGATGCTAGTTTTCTTTATTAAATTTTTACCAAGTCCTAAGATAGTTTCTTTTATTTATAAAAAAAGTCTGTTTCCTCCTATCTTTGACCAATTCTTGTTAAGTTTTTTACTCACAACTAACAAAATAATCTAGTTTTACATTTCTTAATTTTAAAAAGAAAAATAAACTATGGGCACTCAGTGAGTTCTTCTTAGCACTTGAGTTCCTTTGTGAATAGCTCTGCTCTGTGCAGGCAAGGTATTACCTATAAGGGTGAGAAAAATTGTGCCCTTAAAATGCAAACTTCATCTAGCTAAGCCACTGCTTATTCATACAGTAAAATACCACAGAAATAAAAAGCAGTCTTCTAGAGGGGAAACAATTCTGTGTACAAAAGGGAATTGAGAAATCTTTTATGACCCACTGTAGTGGGTCATACTACTCTAGTACATTTAAAAGCACTGACTGAATACCCCACTGAACTGACCTTGACAGGGGAGTCACCATATTTTTTCTTAAGGCCTCTGGAATGTGAGCAGGCCACTGGCTTTATGACATTAAAAATTCTACATTTACTCTGAATATTTGTGTCCATTCCATCTAGTGGCTATTTTGTTCAAATGCTGTTATTCTCACTATTTAATCTTACTTTAACCTAAGTGATAAAGTATGAAGTTTTTTGTACCTGACTTTCAGTAAAATATCAAGGGTGAAACTAGACTTGGTGCTGTCTTCCCTGGCTCCGTACTCTCCTCATTTGGGGTTAGAGTGTTACAGTCACTGCTGAGGAGGGCAACTGTAATAGGCACCCTCATCAGTACCAGACTTTTTAGGATTGTGAAGTATAACCCATATTTCTGCAATCAGTGGATTATACTTGGATGCAAAGAAATTGAAGATGGACATCTCCCTCTAAGATTAGATGAACAACCCTGATTATTTGGCCTAAGACTTATAAACTTCACAGGAGTAGGTGACTATACATCACACTCTTCAGCACTTCCCTAGAGGCCCAGGATTCCGGGTCGATGGCCTCCACCAGGCTGTTTGATTTGCCTGTGTGATGGGAAAACACTGAGTCTGAGAGCTTAACTGCACCAGGGTCACTGCCTCTGTATCCTAGGAGCCTGAAGTAACACTCTATGCCCTTAATAGGAAATATGTACAGACATCCAAGCCTTTCCTGGTTCTCAGGCTGAACTCACTCTGTGTCAACAGGAACAAATCCTTGGAATAGAAAGGGTGTCCACATCTCCCTAAGCGCTGGCTTTTATCTTCCACTTTAAAGGAGGTCTGTTTCCCAGCAGTCCTCTCTCCGACTATGACCTAGTAACCTTCTGTGCATCAGGGGAGAATTTGAATTTAGTCCAAGGGCCCGCAATCCCAAATCCATTTTACTAAGCTATTTTGATATTCTTAAGCCAGTGATCTGGTGATCTGAATATGTTTGTACTGTAACTCTGTATGGGAGCTGAGTGAGAAAACACCCAGTTTTGTGTTTAGTAATGGTTCTACAAAATATCAACTACCCAAGATAGCACTTCCAAGGCATATCATGTAGGGAGTTTCATTTTAAACACCATAAACATCCTAAACTTTAATGATTTTAGCCTTAAAATTAAATACCCTTCGGGCCCTCCCTGGTGGTGCAACAGGTTAGAATGAAGCACTGCAAGCTGGCAGCAGCTGCTTCAGTGTGAGTTCGATCTCCAGCCCAGAGGTGACCCACATGATGCAACACATCTCTCCTGAACCCCTGCTGCTCCCCTCAGCAGTGTACTTCATTAATCTGCCTGTTCTGCTCCACACTCTGTCTCTGGTGAAGCCTCTCACCGCCCCTCCACCTCTGGCCTGTACCCCTGTACTCTTTAAAAAATTAAACTCCCTTAACAATGGTAAACAAATAAACAAGACAGTCCCTGTCCTCAAAAGAAGATTCTCTTACAGAAAAGGTTAATGACAATTTTGCATGACAACATGCTCTACAGTAAAGGAAGTCAGGGTGGTGTGAAACACCAGAAATGGAAGGTGATTTTTAAGAAGAAATTTAATGTGATTTTTAGAGTTGGAGGAAGTTTGAGAAGGGCAATTATATTTCACTTGTACAACTTCAGAGGTCGGGATGGGGCCACTTGTAAATTTATATAGTGAGAAGACAGAGCCAGACCTGAACCATAAAGACTGTTTCTTTGCTTCAGCGTAATTGTATTTTTGAAACAGACAATCATTCTTTCTTGGGGAGCTTCCTATGCAATTGTAGACTGTCCAGCAGGATACCCAGCTTCTACCCAGTCATACCCACACTTCCTCCAAAACCAAAAATATCTTTCCCATAGTTGCTTGTAGGGAAGCAACAAGCAGCAGCATGATCCAAGAAGTTCCCAAGTCAAGACCAAGGAATTTCTTGAAATGACTCTATATGGGCAAATGTTTCTGGATGTAAGTTTATTTACCTGAAAAAAATTATTATATTCATAAATCATCACATTAAAATGTATAAGATTGTGTAGCAGTTTCATGTCTGGCCTGGGCCAGTTGTAACGGTCTAATTTACACAGATCCTAGAACAAACACCTGAAAGTAGGATTCTATGTTTCTGAATCATATACAGTGCTGTAAACCAATATTACCTGAATAAAATGAATTCTAAACAAAAAAAAAATGAAAATGGACTGTTTCTAGGAAATCATTCCCAGAGGGCAACATGGCAGAAAAAGTAATTACCATTAATTTATATGTATTTCCATATCCCCAAAATAAATAATAAATAATTCCATATCTCCAAACAAAATACACACAAAACCTAAGATATCACCAACATATAATAAAGGCAGGAATGGCTTGAGGAAAATTCAGCCTGTATCAAGTAGTTCCCAAGGAAGGAGCTCAATGAGGCTACTCTCACCCTCCCTCTGGGGCTCTGGAGTAGTTGACTGCTTCTTGCCTTTTATTGGAGAAGTGGAAATCCTCTTTGGATGTCTTTTCTACTATTAAAAACAGAGATGTGAGTCTTCCATAAAAGGAAGTGGTCATTACAATCTTTCAAAAAGTAAGAGATGTCTTACATGTACATGTATTGGGAATCCAGGGGAGGAAAAGATTTGTTCCCAGAACAAGAGTTAATAATGTAGTGAACATTTTTTTTTTTAATCTCCTCTTAAATAAGTCTCCTTCTGTGTTGAATATATCTGACTTTGGATTAAAGACAGGGAAGGGAGGCTAGAATATAGAATTTTCTCTATGAAGCTGAAGTATTGGATGCCTGAGGACAGAAAAGCTGAAGTATTTATGGTGAACATTGTCAAGGACCTGGGTTAAGGAGAACAGTAGAGGGCAGGGGTGGAGCAGGGGACAGAGGCACCTGTAGCCAGCCAGGGAGTTGAGCTAGGCTCCCTCTGTCCTTCTCACTCACATGGCAACCAGACCCTTTGTCCCCTTGATTTTCGGTGAGGTCTCAACTTCTCCATTCTTTTCCTTAACCTTAAAATTGCCTGAGCTTCCACTTCTCAGCTTAAAGCCATGTGGCACCCATATAGTGACATCTAACAGGGAAGGGGAAGAAAGACCATGTGAGGGCATTAGCTGACAGTATAGTGCAGGGTCACTACCAGACAGGGCAGGAGCTTTGGGCCAGGGAAGTGCCAGCTGGAGCCTCTCCTTTCAGTTCTCATATGATTTTTCTCATAAGGCAAGAGCCTATGAAATCATTCAGCTTTGCTAAAGCATCAACAACTTTCCAAACAATTGACTATTTACATTATAATTACACAACATTATCGGTCATATGCATAATTAAATAATTTCAGGTTGCCTTGCAAGAATCCACTCTTGTAGGGTGTCTGCTAAGGATGCTTTGAGCTTAAAATATTAGAACTCTGGCCAACTGTAATTCCCTTGGCTGTAGTAGAAATTATGGTGACATAGATGTCAGAAATTTACTTATTTGGAAAACAGAAGATACCATATTTTCCTATTTCTGGGTTTTTAATCAACTAAAAACAAAGAGCTATGTTAGAAGTCTAGGTTCAAGGCCACTCTCTGTTACTAAGTGACAGTTTGATCTTGAGCAGACAGACACTTCACGCCCCATAGCCTCACACTCTAAGGTGTAACATGACTTCTGGCACAAATGTCTGTTGCTCTATTTCTTATGGTAAAATCAAGAGTCTGAATCAAATATTACAAATCATTATTAGTGTATGAGGGGATTTGTAAAATGCTGTAACTTTGTATCTGCCTGTTCTGACATGTGTGAATTGCTTACTTTCTCACTGCAGATTAATAGGGTTGACCAGTTCCTTCATGAAGTGCTTGGAGAGCCTTTACATGCCATAGTCAACTGCCATCAACGAAAAGAAAACAGATGGTTTTGGAAAGTTCATGCTGTTTCTTCACTGAATTTTAGGTGAGTGTGTTCTGAAACAAAGACTTTAAGATTATCATCGAACTCTTTCCTCTTAAAGTGCCTCTCATCTTTGCATGAAAAGAAAATAGGATTAAAAATGATCAAAGTTTTTACTTTTAATTAGGTGCAAAAGAATGAAAAACTTAGCCTGTTTTTTTTTTTACTTATTTTTGTGGGTTTTTTTAATTATCAAAAACTATCTAAAGTATGAGATTTGAAATATGGAGATGACCCTAACAGCTCTTTCTGGGTTCTCTTAAGCAAATGCTACCATGCTTCATTCTGTTTGAAAGGCCACCTAATTATTTTTAATATATTAAATTATTTAATAGCAGAGTAATAAAGCAAAAATGATATTATAACCATATTTAAACAGATAAAATGAGAAGAAAATTTGGCAGCAGTGGTGGCTGATTAATCATTAATAAATCTGGGTGTAAGATAAGGTAGTACTTAAGAGGGTGTCCATTGAAAGGTTATATGTTCTTCAATTAAAGTCGGGTTGGGTTTTAAACTGCTGTGTGCAACGAAGCGCCAGCACATCCTCACATTATGAGCTATGCTTTTCTGGCCATGCAATGGATAGATAAGTAGTTTTTACATCACCCTTCCGTGTTACAAGACAGGAACCTGCAATTAGGTGATTTGCTACTAGTCCGCAATATGCCCTTGTCATTTCCCAGCAGAATGGAGAGGACTGGAAGAATTGAGTGATGGCATTATTAAAGATATTGCATGGCTTCCCGTCTTCCCCTAAGTTTAATTTTCAAGGTATGCTTTTATTATTTACTTCAAAGAATGGTGATTTCCCCAACATCAGAATATACCTCTGTTCAGAACTTTGAATGCAATGCAATTCACAGAGCACTCATCACTGTCTAAATCTACTCTGAGAAGCAGAGATGCATCCTCATGTTATTGATTAGCTTCAAAATGAAGGTAGATAATTCTCCCATGATCTTAAGGGTGCATAAATGTGGTTTATTGAAATGTCTGTAGAAAATGTGATTTCATTTATTTAAAAGATGTTTGTTCAATAATGTTATTCAACAAACTTAGTGCCATTTTAAAAAATATTAGTATATCAATTTACCTAGTATAACATTTATTCTGGGGGAGAAAATGAAAATGTAAAATTTATTTACCTTACTTGCCATATTCTGTGCCTCTTTTTGCCTTCACATCCATTCCTTACCCTGGTTTTTCTCTGCGGGTTCCTGAGGAACTCACATCCATGGACTGTGTTTTTTTCAGCCCCCAAACAGATTCCCTCCAGTTTCCCCTCATGACCTTGAACTTTGAATTCCAGTAATATCACCTCTTCCCGTTGTACCCTCGTGACTTGTGGGTGGTAGCGTCATTGGTTTCCTGATACTGTTAATCTCCAGATTGATTTTCTGCGGCTGTTAATCTCTAGGTTGATTCACTATCCCCAGTTTAGCTTCTCAATTCTTGCATCATCTGTTCAACCATTTCCCTGGATTAAATTCCATCTCTTTTAAATATCTAGAGAGCTTTCTCTTTTTTTGGGCTATTTCCAAATGAACCCATCAGTGCTTTTCTCTCAAATTATTAGAAGAAAAGTGACTATATAATTTCTAAAGGAAAATAAGTGATCATCAGAAAATAAATGTGAAGTTAAATAAATGTAAAGTGTTTTATAATGCAAAGGTTTCTTAACACAAAAATAACCTGGCTCTGCACAAAATTATTTCCCATATTCCCATGTTCATAGAAAATGAGGAAATTATTTTAAATCCTCAGAAATAAACCACATATAATTTTTACTTTTTCAATTCACATTTCACAGTCTTTGGTTTGTTTAACATAGGGACTTTTCCTCTGGGCATCAATCTCATTCCTGATGTCACATTTAAAACTAGAGCCTCAGATTTATTTCATTAAGGATCTGACTAGTCTTTCTCAGTGATTGCTGTTTGCTATTCAGAGCTGCCTTATGATTGAATACTTTGCATTTCTTAAATAAATACTGACTATTTGGAAGGCACAGTGACTGGGATGCCAGCGTCTGTCTTTTTTGGACAGGTAAACAATTTACCACTCTTCCAATGTCCCACTCACTCTAAAATGCTTCCTTGGTTTTAAAGTAGCTCTTCCCTTACTCATTTGGCATTTCATTTGGTTATTTTAAGTGAAAGTGCTTGCTATTTTCATTTCCTTTTCATTTATTTATGTAGACATCTTCCTGTTCAATCTTTTCTCTGTGACTGTTCATCTGTCGATTTTAAAGGATTGTGGGTAAATTCACAGGACCAAGTGTCCCCATACCACTAGTTTTCATCAACCCAACCAATGTCAATATTAAGCCTACAGTGCCTAATTTGAACCCTTCCAGACAACGTGAAGTATTTTCCTGAGCAGAATTCCTTGCACCCCTGCATAACCTAAATTTGGGAGACAAAGCTTTATGGTATGGCTTAAGATATCATGAATAAATGATGTTTCCCAAACAAATCTTCCTTAGCTTAGAACAGCACTGAAAATTGTAATCATTAACATTTCTCTCCAGTTTATGAAAATGAGGGGTTTTTAAATTCATATTTAAGAAAACCTCTTACAAAGAGAAATGCATCCATTATTAAGACATAGTACATCACACATTAGTCTAAGGAATTAGCAAAAAGGAGACTCCTGCACCTGTACAAACATTCAGCTTGGATAAGTTTAGGGAACATAGAGGGAAGAGGCTACTGAAGTAACCAGACTTCATCATGTTATCTGGTAATTAAGCAGATCACCTGTCATAAAAGATAACAGGCTGAACAGGTCTAAGTGCCATGTTGGAGGAGAGGTAGGAAGGGTAGCAAGGAAGTCCTAGAGGAATGAGTGACATCATGAATGGGGAATTGGAATCGCTGGTGCCCACATTGTTCAGAAAGTGTTTTTGTTACAGGGTAGCCCAGAGTGGACTGGGCCGCCTGTCTGTGGTGCCTCACCAGCGCACTCACAATTCAGCTATACTGCAGGGACACACAAAAGGGTCAATAATGGGTTTAGTTACAAAAGGGGAAAGGAATAGGAAACAACCCAGGGAAAGAGCAGGATACAAAGTAAGTGGAATACCTTATGGCTAGGCTGACTGAACATACAAAGTCACGCGGTCCGGAGAGCTACTTCCTGAGCAAGAGAGTGAGAGCCAGAGGCAGAGCAAGAGACGGACGAGTGAGCCCGAGATGCAATGGCGCCCTATTTATCCCCCCAAAATGTCCCATAATCCATTCCTGCTAGCTCCGCCCTGGGGTCCTGCAGTTCTCTCCCTGGTACTGCTGGGAGTTGTAGTTTTCAATCACTGGAGTAATGTGTAGAGTCCAAAAAGCTGGAGTAGGGGGTGGAGTCCATAACAGAAAGCTGGAGTAGGGGGTGGAGTCCATAAGACTCCTCAGAGTTCCTTTAGGATTATTTCCCCTTAACATTTTGGTTTTTTTTTTTTAAAGATTTATTTATTTATGCATAGGTACAGGCCAGAGGTGCAGGGGCAGTGAAAGGATTCACCAGAGACAGAGTGGGGAGCAGAACAGGCCGACTGACGAAGTACACTGCTGAGGGGAGCACAGGACGGGTCAGGAGAGGTCTGCGGCGCCATGTGGGTCACCTCCAGGACAGGGATTGAACTCATGCTGAAGTGGCTTTGGATTCTCAATGCTGTGCTTTAACCTGCTGCACCACCAGGGAGGACCCTCAGAAATTGTTTTAACCAAGATGTGTTTAATATCTTCCCAGCCAGAGTATGATATAGGAAAAATCAAGTGTGTTTAAAAGCAGAAAGACTCCATCTCTGTATCCCTAGCTAGTATTTAGCATACTCTAGGTAATTTCTAAATAACTGGTTGGTGAATAAAGACCAAGGTATCAAGCAATGAAGACTAAAGCATCTGAGTTACTTTTTGCCAAACATCTCTGTATACATTTTATGCTTAAGCAACCCAATGACATAGATAATATTATTACCTCCTGCTTTAAACATGAGGAAAATAGTGGTCATCCCTGGTGGCGCAGCAGGTTAAAACACAGCTCTAAGAAGCTAAAGCCACTTCCACATGAGTTCAATTCCTGCCTGCCCCAAAGTGACCACATGGCATGGCAGACCTCTCCTGACCCACCCGCTGCTCCCCTCAGCAGTGTACTTCCTCGATCTGCCTGTTCTGTTCCCCACTCTGTCTCTGGTGAAGCCTCTCGCTGCCCCTGAGCCTCTGGCCTGTACCCCAGTTCAGTATGCACAAATAAATAAATCTTTTTAAAAAAAAAAAAAAAGGAGGAAATCAGGACTCAGCATATATAAAATAACCTGTCCAAGGTTAACTATGTTGGTGTGAAAATTCAGTACAGTTTCAGAGTCTGTTCCACTGTTGCTCATATGATATAGTCACCAGATAATTTTAAAACACAGGCAAAACATTTTTATTATTAAAAACCCTTGTCATTCCAGAACATACCTATATTAAAATATCTTGTCCATATTTTGAAAGATTCTTTGAACACAAATCCTCTCTTTTTAATGTTCTTGCTACCTTTTCTTTTTAAAACATGACAGCCTAAAACAGCTCCTAATTCACATTCAAATCTCATCGTTTTCATTCTTAATAATTTATCCTGAAAATAATCCTTTTAAAATACCATTCCTCCCTGTATGCCAGTTGCTTAATTTAAAAATGGGTAATTGTGAGCATCTAGCTACTTAACTCAGATTCCCCACCTGAAAAGTTATGTCTAATTTATTGTGAAGAGCAGAAAATAACATTCAGAAAACAGCAAAGCACAGTTCCTGGTACATGGAGGTGTTCAACAAATAGATGCCAAGATGATGTTATATCCTTGCCCACTTGAATCTGAAAGACAGTGTTGACTGCCCCCTCAAATGCATCCTGTATTCCTTTGTGTGTCATCCTCTTAGTAAGTCAGACCTCTTGAGTCTCAATGCCCACTTTTTCCCCTCATCAATGACTTTTGCTCAAATAAATGTGATCTGCCTCCTCTAAGCC